TGTTTCAAGTGTCTGTGACAATGCGTTACACATCGTACAATAGATCATAATAGATTTCTAAAACTAAATTGTGTCGAGTACAAAGAGGAGTAACGACAGTGATAAAAAAAAAAAAAAAAGAAAAAATTGACGAACAACACGCACGATACGATATCGATAGAAAAATTCTCAGTAAAAAAACAAAAATGTTTCATATTTTTGAAAAATGAGCCCTTTTTCTCCTCCTCCTCTATGAAACTATCGGTATGTTGAAACTAGGTTGGAATTCATGTACATGGGTGCGTAATCTATTATAAAAAAAAAAAAATAGTCGCCCACGTATTTCGTTTCCTGTTTTCCTTTTTTTCTTTTTTTTTTTTTTTTTTTTTTTTTTTATTCGGTTTCGATGAATATCAATCCGAAAAAAAAATGATACACGTGAAAAATATATCTTGTAAACGGACGGACTCCATGTTAAGACTTGCTTTATTAATTTGAAGTCTTTCACCGTGAGAATTTTATTTTATTTTAAATTTTTCATCGTGCAATTATCGTTAATGAATTTTTCTACTTGATTTTTCTAATTTTGTTTCTCTCTCTCTCTTTTCTTTTCATAAGAAATATAACGAGGGAAAAATTTGTGTCATTTGTTTATTCTGTTATCGATTGAATCAACTTTAAGATTTCATTCTTTAGAAAATTTAAAATATTTTCCATTCGAAGTTTGTTTTTTATTTATATAATAAAATATTTTGGTTTTTGTTAGGGAAAAGTATGTGAAAAAAATATGTGACACATCGATCCAAGAAATTAATAAATATATAAATATGATATTGTCTTTGAAACACATGTGGACACGTGTGTTAAAAAAAAGCTTACAAAAGCTTCGTATATATGCTTCAGGATATTATTTTAGCCCCGAATGAACTCTGGAGAAAAATATTTCGCGTGGAAATGTCAATTGCAAGAAAAAAAAAAAAAAATTCGCCCAATTTAAATCCAATTTATTCGTTCGCAGTCGTTAAATATTTATTAAATATTCATATATAGAATTATTTATTGATGCAAAACTTTTAGTTTGAATCCACTGACCATTTTTCAATAATTTCAAGTAAATCCATTTATTTATACAAATTCGTATGCATGAAAGACATGAAACGAAATCAAAAAGAGACCACAGATATGAATCGATGAAGCCATATTGTAAACAAGTAAAAAATGGGAATAAACTAAAAGAAATGTAAAAAAAAAAAAAGAATAAACAAACAAATTTAAAACAAAACCGTAAAAAAAACTGACTTATTTCAATATTTCTGCTCGTGTAAAATAGTTCTCGATGTGTATTCCATCGTGCACAAATATCGTATATATATATATATATATAGGTGACATCGAGAACTGTGTACCTTATTTTTCACTCAGGGATTCGTTCGATATTGAATTACCACTGGTGCTTTTATAAAACGCTTTGCGAATATGTGCGCGCCAATCCATACACGGGATTATTTTATTAAATATATTGATCCTATATATAAGTTTAAATATATAATCGTATCTATAAATATCGTAAAGAAGATTTTTACGATCTAAGGATTATCCATATCAATATCATATTCGTTAAATTTAAATAGAATTTTTAAAAAAGTACGAAGTAATGTACTGAATTGAAAAGGACTATAAAAAAAAAAAAAAAGAAGATGATATCAAAATATTCCCCCCTCGAGACCGTTCAACTTTTATCCGAGGTACTTTTTTTTTAATATTGGAGAAAGAAAAGTGATATTCCGGATAACTAAGTTTTTTATTATTCTAGGCGATATAATTAAACAGTCCCTTCTGGATATTCTCGAATCCTTTGAAATTAAGAAACTTAACTGCAGTTTTGTTTTATATCCTCTTTATACAAAAAAAACTTCATAAATTGTAAAGACATTTCTCTTCTTGAATTACATAATTTTTTTTTTTATTTTTTTGATATATAAAATTAGCAATTCCTAGCAAGAAAAATTTTTCATCCTCGTATTAGGGGAATATATATAATCTGAAAGGAAGTGACACATAACAAAACGTTTATCTGTTTAGATAAGTTTTTATATATTTCATTTTGGGATAAAATGAAAGATGAAAGATTTAGCCTGTCTCCTGATCCAGTAGTTACAGTATTCTTTGTTTCTTTCTATTCTTTTTATTCTGAAAAATATCTCTATCCCCAGAGGGCATTCTGATTATTACCGCCAAAACGTATTCTTCCCCACTCCTTTTATCTTTTTTTTTAATACAGTATGAAAAGTTCAGAGACTTCGCGCTTCGAGCTTTATCAGAGATGCGCACAATTTTTCGTGCAAAGCTGTCGATTCATTCGGCGAGAATCGATTAATACCCCAGAATATCGTTAATTTGCACGCGTAAGATGAAATAGATAGATATCGAGAACACAGGTTTGGAAGCTGATATTTTCTCCCCCATCTTTTCAAATTACTTGGCCCAATTCGTGTTATATATTGGCAAAGTGCAACGGTGATTCGGATTCATCGCCGCTCTCTTCCTGAAAATTGAAAAATAGGAGACAGAATTATTGAAATCGCACACGGTGAAATCAAGTTGTTATCCAGGAGAGTATTAAAGGGAGTATCTCCTCGTTTTCTTTCTTTTTTATTATTTTTCTACTCGAAAATATTCATATATATATTTTGCTACGCACCACTCTTTCCGAATACACGTGTGAATGGAAAATGGCAAAAAGTGAACAGCGCTCGGCGGAAATTTTTCTCCGCTGAGAAAAATGCGCGGCTTGATTTATGACGAAAGCATGGTAACTAAAACGGTGCCGCCTCCTTTATCTTCGATTAATTTATCGGCAAATCTGACGCGATCGTTTTTCTCCCTTCTGAAAAATCGGCGCAACCGATTTTAACAAAGTTTTATGTACTCCAGTTTCCAAGCGGTGAACACCTCGTGAGTAACCGCAACTCGTTTCACCACTCGTTTTTCCCTAATAGAGAAACCTTCCCTATTTTCCTTCCTTATTTCTTCCTCCTCTCCTTTGTTATTTGACATTTTTCATTCTCCTTTTAAACTCCTCGACATAATCTATCGTATCGTCGAATTCTTCTCTCTCGATGGACTTCTTTCTTCGTATTACGTCGCTCGATTCCTATCAATAGATTCGAATTTTAACGATAAATATAATTCGAATTTTATTATTAAAAATAAATCGATTCCTTTGTATATATTTATTGCGAGATTTCATAAATCGATACTCAGGTTCGAATTAATATATTTAATTGCGTTGAAATATATATCGATTATGGATATATTTTTAAATGTAATTTTAACGTGAATTTTTGTTACTCGGATCCATTGGGTATTTGAATATCGTTTCAAAATGATCATCACTGGTTTCCACGAATATTGATCATACGTATGAAGTTCCAGATGAGGTCAATATCGGATTGTTATGCAGCAAAATCATTAACATCTTCAGTCCTCACTTGTGCTCCCTCAGAAATCTATTATCAAAACTTAAAATCGGGAAAAACCTTCGTTTTCGAAAATTGGAAAGAATTCCTTGCATCTCATAAACGAAAAGACACGAATTCAAATTGCACATCCATCTCGATGATTACACCTTTCGAACACTATTCTTGGACGATGTTCAAGATTCGTGCAGGTGGAGGGAGCCAACCGTGAGCCAATTTTCGCGAAACAGATCGATCGGAACGGGAGAAATCGGTGTCAAGATTGTATAGTCGAGGCGGGCCGAGTGGATAAGCGAATAAAAAAAAAAAAGAAAGAAGAAAGGGTTAGATAAAGGCCAGAGGAAGAATGCTTTCGGCCAGATCGAGATAACGAAGGCCCTCGAGAGGGACGATCGATAACCTCGTAAAACCGGTCGATCGCGACCCAGTTACCAGAAAAATTCCCCCGCGTTTCGAATTTATTTTTCGAAGCCGCCGGATCTCTCGCCGAAACCCTTTAATTACTTAAAACAATTTGTATGCAATCTCCTCTTGGCCGTGCCTCTTGTTAACTCGTACGACAACACTCGACGACATTCCATCACG